AAAAAAATTGAAACAGTTTTACTGGAATGTAAAAAAAAAATAAAATAAAATAAATATAACTCTCTCCACCACCTCTTGTATAGCGGTTTGGGTTAAGACTACTGGTTTTGCCGGGCGGTGGCGGCACAGGCCTTTAATCCCAGCACTCGGAAGGAAGAGCCAGGCGGCTCTCTGTGAGTTGGAGGCCAACCTGGTCTACAGAGCAAGATCCAGGACAGCCAGGGGAACACAGAGAAACCCTGTCTCAAAAAAACAAACAACAAAAACAAAACAAAACAAAAAAGACTACTGGTTTTGCTAGGCAGTGGTGGTGCACACCTTTAATCCCAGCACTCAGGAGGCAGAGACAGGTGGATCTCTGTGAGTTTGAAGACAACAAACTTAGAGTGAGTTCTAGGACAGCCAGGACTACACAGAGAAATCCTGTCTCAAAAAACAAATCAAAACACAACAAAAAACTGCTGGTTTTGAAATAGAAAGTTACAGGTTATAATTCTTGCTTCTCTCCTCATCCATCATGAGATGCAGGACAAACTGACTTTCCTCTGGGTCTCAGTTTCTGCTGAGAGTGAGTGTCCACTCACATGGATGTGTTGAGTCAGAACGGGATGGAGTGAGTGTCCACTCACGTGGATGTGTTGAGTCAGAACAGGATGGAGTGAGTGTCCACTCACGTGGATGTGTCGAGTTAAGTCAGGGTGGCACAGGCCTACAGTGAACAGCTACTGTCAGGCACCAAGCTCCTGTATGTGAAGGGTCAGTGCCTGGGGCAGTGGACAGTGACTCTGCCTCGGTAGATATTCAGGAGACAGCAGGCAAGCAGCTGCTACTTTTCCCAGTTTACCCTCCAGTGGCGGGTGCTGCAGAGCCCCACCTCGGCCTGTTCACTTGGCAGACCACACGAATGGCCAGAGCAGAACAGCACGAGTCAAATTATGGGCCAGTGCATGAAACAGAGCAAGAAACAACATGGTAAGAGGCATCCTGCGGGGCTGGTGAGATGGTTCAGCAGTTAAGAGCACTGGCTGCTCTCCCAGAGGACCCAGGTTCAATTCCCAGCAACCACATGGCAGCTCACAACTGTAACTCCAGTTGCAGAGGATCTGACACCCTCACAGACATACATGCAAGCAAAACACTAATGGACATAAAATAAGAATAAATAAATCATTAAAAAGATGCTTTAAAAAGTTCTTTAAAAAGCCATCCTGCTCCACACCTTCCTCCCCGGTGGGTGTGGCACTGCCTTACCCCAGTCCACCTACCAGCTCTTGGTTCCCCCACCCCTCTCCCCTCTGGAAGCCTGGTCCTCCTGGAGCCACAGAGCAAAAGTGGGTCATACTCACTGCAGTCTGGGGCAGTTCAAGCCCAGGGCCGTGAGAGATGCATCCGTGAGGTTGCTACAACCCGAGAGGCACAGAGCCTGCAGCCGGTGGCAGCCCCTGCAGATCTGCACCACGCCCTCATCAGTGATGCGCTGGGGAGAAGGGTACAGGAGTCGGGCCCAGCACTGACTCAGGACAGGAGACTCAGGTCAGGAGAAGGAGTCTCCTGCTGCCCACCAGCACTTCACCCTGACACCCACACAAAACACAAGCAGGCTGGCTGTGACAGCACTCGCCTGTAGTCCTGGCACTAAGAAGGCTGAGGTAGGAGGATCGCCAGTTCTAGACCATCCTGGACTACATAAGTGAAACTCTACCTTTAAAAAAAAGAAAAAGAAAGCAGCCAGGTGTGGTGGCCACACCTTTGATCCCAGCACTTCGGAGGCGGAGGCAGGCAGATCTGTGAGTCTGGAGCCAGACTGGTCTACAGAGTGAGACCCTGTCTCAAACAAACAAACCTGTCTAAAACCAAAATAACAGTAAATAGGTAAGTCCAGGCTATCACTAAGTTGGTAGGTCCCTGCCTGGCATGCAAGAGGCTCTCTCTCCCCGAGTTCAATCCCAGTACTACTCAACAAACGAGTAGAGAGAGGCTTCTGCACAGCTATAAACTAGCCTAGTAGATTGCTAACACTAGACACTGGAAGTCAAGGTTCTACCTAGAGTCATCAAGAGAGACTGTTTTCGGGAGAAATTCATAAACTCATGATAAAACATGAAATAAAGAACTCATGAGACTTCCTAGTTAAAAGACACGTCAGTATGCGGCTAAATGTGCAGACGGTGATTCTTCCTGTACTCACAGAAATCGTGTTGTGTTTACATGTATGTAACATCTCACCAAACAATTTAGAGAAAAGGAAAACTAGTTACTGATAAATTCCTTGGCATTCTATTTCATTTGTCTGTAAAGATCTGGAACAGTCTTTGCACTCCAATACACTAATTCATGCAGTCATAAGCACGTGCCTATCCTCTAGTCGTACCAGCGGCCAGTGGTAACTCTGTAACTAGGGCCTGCCTTTGGCCGATCTGCGAAGCAGCTGTGAACAACTGCTTTCCCGGATTCCTTTACCAAAAGCTGAGTGCAAGGTCATTTTCTCATGTTTCTCAAAACTCTAGGTCCCCTTGGGTCATGCAGCCCAGGGCTGCACACCCACACAGCAGCAGTGAGGAAGACCGGTAGTCCTTCCAGGGCTACTGCCTAGAGAAGAATGCTGGTTTCACTTGCACACACCGTTTACAGCACAGCTATGTATGTGTGTGTGTGCACTCGCAATCTCAGGTGCCGTTCTTCAGGTACTGGCCACCTTCTTCTTTGAGACACATTCTGTTCTGGCTCAGAACCCACCAAGTAGAGGCGGCGGGCTGGCAGGCAAGCGGGAGGAATCCCACTGCCTCTGCTTCCCCAGTGCTGGCGTTATAAGAACATGCCACCACGCTCAGCTTTTCCACATGGGTTCTCGGGGGCAAACTCAGGTCCTTGTGCTTACCTGACTGGGCTCGCTCCCCAGCCCAGCACTACTATTCTCACTGAGGAATCAGAGGAGCCACCACCCCAGTGTATTAAGAAGAAATGAGATACTGAGATCTTACCAAGCTGTTCAGGTCTAACAGATACCTAGTGACAGCATTCCTGATTTTTCTGTTTTGAAGGAGTCAGCCAGACATACTGGCCACACCACACCTGTAACCCCAGCTTTCAGTATGCTGAGGCATGAGAATTAGGCTAGCCTGGGCTATGCAGTGAGACCCTGTCTATCTCTCATATATATGTGTGATATATATGTCATACATATTCACACATGTTTCTAAATATGAATACAGGTGTAGACATGAACAATCAAGGCTGATTCCTGTGATTTGGGGGAGGGGCCGATATGCTAAACATGCTGCCTTATTGTTCTCACCTTACAAAGACTCACAGCTCCAATGAAAACAGAGGAAGAGGAGTCAGGGCAGGGTGATGTGGCCATCTGCCAGCCACCTTGGGCAAGTGAGGCCAGACAAGGGGGCTGCAGGCAGGTGCTGCGGGCAGTGGATGCGGGCAGGGAGGGAGCTGGGCACGGGTGCAGAGCGGGCATGGGTGCCAGGGGGGAGGGGGCATGAGGGCAGGGTCTCGGGTGTGGGAGGATTGGGGGCAGGGGTGTGGTGGATGGGGGGAGGGGGA